TTTTTATGAATCTTTATATATTTAAATAGAATATTATATTGTTTCATTGCTTATTTTTCGATATTGCATTTATAAATTTATATATTTATATAATTATACTTTTTATATTTTAAAAAATTAAATTTTAAATTAATTTAAAAAATTATTAGTATTAATTATTTTTATAAATGTTTGATTATTTTATTTTTTATTTTATCTTGTCTTGATCATTGTATATCATTGTGTCATTAGTTGACAGTAATGAGTTTAAAAATGGAATCTACTCTGTGGCAAAATTACTTCGAATTCCACGACATCCGAATCATCTGGTCACACTAAAAGCATGCAGTAAACTAGTACAAAGAAGATTAAATTCCGAATGCTTACGGAATCCAAATTGTAAAATCATTCGAGGCAAGCCATTTCCTGTGATGAATTGCGATCCTGGTTTTCAACTGAAGAAAACAGCAGTGGAAAATGCAGCTAAAATTCTTGCTCTTCTTTATATTCAAGATATTAGGAATCTTCAAACAAAGATTAATGAAGTGATCGTCCAAGTACAGAATATTACAGCTAATCCAAAAACGGATACTAAATTAGGAAAAGTTGGAAAATAAAAAAAAGAAATGATACGTAGATATTTTGTTATATGATATATAGATATAATAAAATATATATATTAGATATATATTAGATATAATAAAAATATTAAATATTAGATAATTTTTTTATCTTGGAAAGTCTCGAAAACATAATATTATTTATTTATTTCAAAATCAAGCTTATTATAACTTATTATTAAAATAATTATGAAATTTATTGTTTTCTTTAATTTTTTTTTCTACACAAAAAAATCATTAAAAAATTAAAATATTTAAATTATTTTATTTTATTATATCTTTACATCTCTTCATAATAAAATGTTATTTAATTGATAGAAAATACTAAATAAAAATTAAATTAATATAACAAAAATGTAATTATAACAAAGAATATTAAATTTTGTTGTAGATATTATATGTTTACCATATTTTTTAAAATCTTCACTCAAATGTAAATTTAATTAAAAATCAATAACATATAATTATTTTATGAAAATAATAAATATTGAAAATTATTTATCAAAAAAAATTTATCAATTTATCATTTTAATTTGAAAATTCTTTTTTATATTAAATAAAAATTTGATACTATTAAAATATTTACAATATTTCAAATATACATATATTATACTATATATATGCTATTATAATATTTCTTATATTATACACAAAAAGTTTTTAAAATATATTGAAATAATATAATTTTTATTTCAATTTTATAAAATAATCATTGCAAAAATAGAGTTAAAGAAATATAAATTAAGTATAATTAAGTATATTTTGTGTTTATATATGTTAAATGAACAAATGAATAAAAAGTAAAATTCAAATATTTTGAATTTCAAATATTTATATAGAAAATTATTATAATACTCAAAATAATTCTTGAATGCTTATTTATAAAACTGATTAATAAAATTTTTCAATATTATACTTGTTGATATTTTATATAATTTATTAATATTTTTTTGTAAGATGAAAATACTCAAAATATAATTTAGAAACAATAAATTGTATATTTTATTTTTTTTAATAAATATATAATTTTTTATGAATTTTAAATATATCTTAATATTTAAACTGTTAATTGCTTTATATTATTTTTAAAAATAAAAATCATGGAAAATAAAAAATATGATAAAATTAAATAATTGTGAAGATAAAAAAAATGCAATTTTTTTAATAATAATAATACTTTCATGTATAAAAATTTTTTCATTTAATAAAT